CTAGTGGGGCTGTTGGCCCCGCAAGCGGCCCTGGAGGCAGAGGCGGGGGGTGCCCCTCACCCGCCCCGGGCGGTGGAGTCGGGGTGCGAGGGGCTCGGCAGTCCCGGCCGTGGCTCGCTGGTCGCGAACGTGCGTGGTGCCGAAGGCGCCTGTGGGCTCCTGAGCGGAGGTCGAGCGGCAGCGGCCTGACAGGTCAAGCGCTGACTAGCGTGTCTTGTAAGAAAACAGAGTCTGGCTGTGAGTTTAGTAATCCCTGCTAGGTTACTAATGCTTGTTCAGAAACAGTTTATCACAAAACACCCGCAGCAGTTTATTTCTGGGCTTACAGACTGACCGTCTCAGAGATGAGCCCTGGATTCAGTTTTGTTATGCAATATCAAAGTTCAAAAACATCTTGCTTCTTTGTCATTATTTAAATATTTTTAAATTTTCTTATTAGACTAGTTCTCACATAAATGTAGCAACTTCGATTTATATTTCTTCATTGTTGGTTGGTTGGTTTGTTTTGATGGCTTCTTTTTTATGTTAAACATAAAAGCCTGCATCGACCCTGATTCTGCAAGCATTTAAGCACCTAAAAATTGGGGGATGTATAACAAGTAATGCTGAAATAGTAACTTGCTTTTTTTGTTGCCTTTCTCTTCTGGCTCAGGTTGATATCAAGAGTTAATTATAGTTGAATTTTTGTGAGGTGGCTCTGTAGGATATATATGCACACCAGTACGTATGATTGACCTTGATTGTCTTCAAGCAGCTCAAGATGTATGAGCTGCCCCTCCCTGGCTATATCTGGTTTGTCAACCACTTGCAAAAACTGTGCTGTGTGACAGAGAACAGTGGGTGACGCCTTTTAAAGAAAGAAGTGAGAGAAGAAGGCTTAGGAGAGTTGAAAGGGGAAAGGAGTAGTCCTTCAAGAAGCAAGGAGACCACAGCAGTTCTACCCATGTACCAGGAAGTTTAGCATAACTTCTGTAGTGGCCTAAAACCATCCAGCATCAAGCTGAGGAGTTCAATTAAAATGCTACCAGGTAGAAGGGGACATGAAATTGTCTTTAAGCATCACTGCAGACTAAGCCCTGCTGGCTAGGACTACAAAACATGTATTTATGAACTTGAGTTGCAAACTAAAATTTAGAACTAGTTTGTAAGTCTCAAAAGTTAAATCCAGAAGAACAAAGCTTTACATAGATTTCACGTTCTGCATCTAAGGTGTGAATGAAGCTAAACTTTTTAAAAAATCTCTTATGAATTACTAATGCTGCTTAGTGCAGTTACCCAGCTTTTAAATGTTTACTTAATTTACAAACATAATTCAAGCTTTTGATTTCTTCAGGAATCTTTATGAAGAAAAATATAGGTTAATTCAGACTGGAAATCCAGCATTTTCCACGAGGCTGTTGCCTGTCAGAGGAGCAGTTGAATGTTTATTTGAGATGGGATTTAAAGAGGTGAGTATAACTTAATAATTTATGGTGTCTTCATCAGTTTGCACACTAAAATTTAAAATTGAATTTTTTTCCTGCTTTCCCAGTTGCAAGGCACTACATCTTAAGCCAGTTGCTATTCTCTTTCAATCCCTGTTTGCAAATACCTGCAGTTAACCAACAGAAAATTTAGATGAGGTTTCTTCAGAAATCTGGTGGAGCTAGAGCTAACCTGGTCTGTGAGAAGATTGTTTTTCTGCCATTCAGGCACAATACTGGTTTGTTTAGTGGTCAGATGGATATCCTTGCTGGCACAAATGGTGGGTAATGGGGTTAAAACCCCTTTTTTTAGTCGCAGGCCACTGTTAGGTGGACATTGGACTGCACCATCTGACAGTTTCCATATTCTAAATCTGTACTGAAACTGTCATTTGGAAGGGGGTGGGGGGGAAAATCCTGCTCTTCTAGTGACAGTAAGAACAAGCAGCAGAGCTTGTGTGGCCCCATAGGGAGTTAGATGAGGGAAGCTGATCAGATTAAAAATTAATTCCTCCTGCCCCCCCCCCCCCCAAAAAAAAAAAAAAAAAAAACACCACAAAAACTTTTCAGCCAATTCACAGTGTAGCTGCGCAAGTACTAGTGTTGTCATGATGGCAGTGGAGGGCAGCGGACCGTTGAAGTAGTGGGAGGGTGGGACTCTTCACTAGTAGTTAAAACAGTTATGAAACTGTATCCTAAAATAGTCTTGAGTGGATCTTTGTTCTGTTGCAGTCAAAAAGATGTATTTCAAAGATTGTTTTGTGTCCTGAAATGGTCCTTGTCTTGGTGGAATTTAAGCTAAAGCTTGTTAAGCTAGAAGTAGCCTTCATAATTACAGGAGAGCTGGGGTGAAAACCCAGCTCTTGTTTAATCGTGCAAAGCTCTTGCTCTAGCATTGCTTTAATTTGTCTATTTGATGCCACGCTTTTATATGCATGCATACATACATTATGGTATTTAGGTCCAGCTGGTATGAGACCTCTGCTTCCTCTTCATGTAAACTTAATTAGTGTAATTGTCCTAATTAAAAAAAAAAATAGTATGCTGAAAGAAATGGTGACAGCATAGGGAGAAATGGTCTGTGGGGTTATTCTCATGCTGGTGCTTAGGAGATGACTTTTAATGATGTGTTTTAGCCAAGAGCTAGTCAGTGTAGCTAGCAAAGCACTCAAGTGGTAATAACATAGTCATTTTAATCATGTTGTGAAGTGCTACTCCTACTTCTGTCAGACCTTTAAGATCACGTTGGCTCTGTCTTACGGTTATTGTGTCAGTTGTAGTTGAAGCTCACAAGCTTCTCCAACTGCGATAACTAAAATTGTTTCTTCTTTTGTCTCTCTTGGTAAGCCAACTTTTTCAATTAAAAAATTAGGACTCTTCTGCTGGATTGATACATTCCATTTAGTTTTGTGGTGATTGTACATGTTAAAGTGAAGCACTGTGTCTGCAATGATAGGTCACCTAAGGTAACTGTGGATAAACAAATTACTCAGTTTAATAAAGTGCTGCAGTGGTAGAAACTGAAACTTTCACAGTATGAATGCTTCAGAATATTAATGTTTTTAGTAACCTTTTTCTTTAGGTTAAGTACACTGGTAATTGCTTCTGTTGTAATTACTAACCTTTTGTTATGCTACCAGTAATCATGTTACAATTGGAAATAGGAACCCAGAAATCAAGCTGGGTATGGATCTAAATAAGAACAATCTTTCCCATCTGAAAACTCAAAACCTAAAAGATATCGGTATAGAAGAGAATTCCTGGCAGATGTCATTCTAGGGGCTTCTTCCTCAAACTTTGGGTATCCTGTTGCCTAGCATTTCACTGCTGTCCTGTGAGAACTGAGCATTTCTTGTTCATTTCTGTTGTTGCTGCTTTCTCTGACAAACCCTAATTGTGTTGTCCATGTGTGGCTCTGCAAAATAAGTTATTAACAATAACATGTTGCCATGAGCCCTTTTTCTCTAGATAGTTCTTGATCTAATAGCTTCTGCTGTAAACTGTCTAATCTGAAGGCTGAATCCTGCCAAGCCTTAGTGTGCTAACTTCCAGTAAATGATATAGCTGTTAGTCGGCAGTTTCTATCTATTCCTAACTTAGATCTGCATTAACTGCTGAATTAATTTGTCTGAATTTTAGGGAGAAACTCACCTGGTTTTACCTAAGGAAGCTTTGATTGAGCAGCTACATAAAATCAGAGCCTTAATTGCTGGAGAGAGGAGTAGAAGACTGAATAAGTCAAATCGAATCCATAGACCATCATCCTCTGAAACTGTGACCAGCAGTCAGACAGTTGCACACAGCCTTCAAGACCTGCTGATTCTGTTCTTGCCACTGCCCATCAGCAACCAGAAACATCACTTGTGCAATCTCTTGAAATGGTAATTATAACGTGAAAGCTTTGTAGATATACTAATCTTGAATATAAAGATTAAAGAGGAGTTAACAGTTGGGACAGGTTGCTCAGAGAGGCTGTGTAGTCTCCAAATGTGGGTGTTTTCAAGACCTGACTGGATAAAGCCCAGAGCAACTTGGTCTGACTGCATAGCTAACCCTGAAGTTTTTGAGTGTTTTCTTTGGTCTCCATGCAACTTCGACATGAAACATGCCATAAATAGAATATTAGCAAAAGATTTTGTTGAAGATGTCCATAAATGTTTTTCCCATGAATCGGGATGTTGTGAAAAAAAAGCTGATTTGTATTGGAAGGAACAACAAGGTGGGGGAACAAAGTCAGGGAGGGAAGCTAAGACTAGAGCTATATACTGTCTTTGGTATTTGCGACACAGCAAAAGAACAGGAGCACAACTGTAATGTTTATCATTCTAGGTGTCTCAGTTTATGCATTATGACCTCCATGTATAGCCTGAGAGGGCTTTTTTTCCACATGTGATTGTTGTGAGACACCGGAATTTAGCCAGGCAAGGACAAATCTATAGTTATTTAAGCTGTGTTTCCCTTGTTGAAGAGGTTGAAATGAAGTACCCTGTCAAGAGAGAGATGCAGAGTCCTTTCATCTGATGTTACCTGGTCTGATGGGAGAACACTCTTTAACACCTCATACCAACTTTGAAAAATTAAGTTATGCCTTTTGATAAAAGGTTTCAAGGATGCTTTGGTTTAACTTTCTAAAGAGTTTTTCCTCCTAGAACCAGTGTCAGTCACTTCAGTCTTAAAGCTGATGTAAGATAAATCCTCCCAAAAGCTCATAAATCCTTAAACAGAGTTTGTCTCAAATGATATTATCAGTATATTGTTGGATGCTGAACTATGACATACTATTGCTTCCCAATACCAACTCAAGATCAGTGGAAAAGAAATGGCAAAGCATAGGTTGAAGTAATGGCTTTTGGGGAGAGAGAGCACTCAGTGACCCATAATCACCCATAATGCCATTTGGTAAAGGAACTGTTGCAGGAACCTGAATATTGAGCCATTTAATCTAACTGTGTTAGCACGCCAGTAGTTGCCTTTAAAATATACTGTCTGGGTTTATTTGAATTTTTGGTTAGGTTGGGGTTTTTTTGTGTTTGCTTCTTGGGTTTTACTGTTTCAGCCACTTCTGCAATGGTGGTTGGAAGTGCTTATAGAACTTCTAGAGTGACTTGCTGCAGTGCTGGAAGCTTTAAAAGTTGTGTTGGTCTTTCAGTGAGAAAAATGTTGCATATTTCAAGTTGATTCTTGATGTATTTTGAGGTTAATCCCTCTTATTTCCAGTTATTCTGCTCTGCTTTATGCTAGCCATCAGAGTTGTGGATCCGTTTTCTCTGCAACTGCTAATTTCTCCATGCTCCTTGGGATTCAACATGGGTGGTGGGACCAAACTTATTTAGACATTGCTAGTGCAATATTGTCACTCTGTTATTGAAATGCTGTATGTATTTCAGCTGATCTCTTCAGGGATTTATAAGACCCTGAGCCATTGAATTTTGTGTCTCTGGTCTGGGTTGACTGGAAGGAAGTCCGTAATATACGTAATATGGACATATATTCTGACTATGACTTGGTGGTTTTGCTTGCACAGCAGTAGGTGTGTTGTTTTTCACTGAGTATACTGCAGAAGTGTAGTTGTATTATTGTATGTGCTGCTGTCACATGTCAGACTTTTGTAGTCTGTTTTTTGTAGTGCGGGTATTTTTTTTCTTGCATATGCATTACACCTGTGATTCATGGAAGTCCTAGTAAACACAGGAAGTGGATTATTTGAGACAGCACAGAAACATTCTTAAATGACAGTATTTTGAGGACCTAAGCCATCATTATTTTGCCTCATCTGTGGCTCTTCTGTGCTTCTTATTGTAAGGTATTCTTGAGACTTGGAGAAGGGAAAGCTCTGGCTAGGCATTATTCTGGTGGATGGATTCTGATCTCTTATTGGATGCTGTAGAGTTTATTATAGGGGGAAAGAGGTATCCATACTTAGTTTTGCAGTGAGGTTCACCACACGTCTAGATGTTTGCGTAAGACTTTATTGGTATACAGTGGTTTCCTTGAAACCAGTTAAGCACCACTGAAACATTGATGGTTTTTGCTAGTGGGAAAGTCTGAATTGTCAAATAATCTGAGAGACTTTCTGCTGTGCTGAACAAGCTTTCAAGAAGGTGACAGAACATGAAGATCTATAATAATCCACTGGCAGCCCCTAACTTTTTCCTTACTTCTGTTCTTTCAACTTGTGTTAAAGTGAATCAAAACACACTTGGGTTTATGATGTTTAACCAGTTACGTACAGCTGATGAGCTGCAGTTAAGAGTGAAACCAGTTCTGTTCTCTTTCAGCAGTTACATAGAATAAGGACTGGTCTTGTAGTACTGTCCAGCGTCAAAATGATCATTCCTAATTTAAATACTCCTTTGAAAGAAATTATCTTCTGTGTAGTTTTCACACCTGTATCCTATGTTACATTTGCAGCTGGCATCTCAGGAAAGTGTGGGATTTTTGATGAAACAAAGATGGTAGTTAACAGGGCTAAAGCAGTAGAGAAAGGGTAATTTAGCAGTACTCCAGGCTTTCTTTACCTGCCCACTCCCCAAATATGCCAGACTCTTAATTTTGAAATCCCATTTCACTTGTGTTGTCTCCCTTTTAAATGGGAGTAAATAGTTTGCTTAGCTGCTAACACCACTATTAATAACTTCAGCTATTTATTTTAGTAGATATGGGTGTACCTTATTGGCTTGAATATGTAGTTGCGGCTAATGCTTGGGATAAGTGACTGAAGAAGCCTAGTTCTTACATTTGATTTCTAGTGAAATACTGTTCAGTATATGGTCACAGGGCTATTCAAATCTGGGCCAGAGTTGATCTGTGAGAGAAGGAAAGTAGAAATAGACAAGCAGCATTCATGAATAAGGAATAGAAAAGCAGCCTTCTTCAATAATAGTTCTGTGAACTGGTGCAGCAGTTTCCAGGAAATGGGATGAATTACAGGGTTGTTTTTTTTGTGGACTTCAGGTGAAAGGTGTCCAAAAGAAATGGGAGTGGGGGTGTGGAGCAAGTAAAAAACTTTGCTGTCAGAGCTGACTTTTCTCCCTGAATCAGTACACTTTTCACTCAAGACACCGTTCAGAATACTTGAAGATTACAAGGCTGGCTTTACAGTTTGGGGGGTGGTGTCTGTGATATTTATGGATATCTTTAAATATTTAGCCTGTAAAGAAATATATAACTGAGTACAGAACTGTGATTCACTTAAAATAAGACAGCTTTTGGTTTAAGGTGGAGGTTCATAAACCATCTATTGACTGAAAATCCTTTTGCAGGCTGCAAATATCTTGAAAACACTTCAAACAAAATTTGAGCATCTTGTATTGATGTATGAGAATCCATCTATTCAGCAGAAAGCACTAGCTTCAATTCCTCTCCAGCAATTGAAAGGGAAGGCTCAGAAAAAGCTAGCACAAGCTACAGGACTGGACAAAGGTAATGCATATTACTTCAAACAGCTGGATGATACATATATCTACTGTGCTTTAGGTGTGTGGATTTAGGCACATGTCTGCAGGTTCCAAACGTTGTATCTAAATTAGAATTATCTTCTTCCTAACTTTCAAATCTTCTACTCTACTCTCTCCTAATTTCTGTTGGTTTTTTTAATCTCATTTTTGTCGTTCATCCTTTACTGCTTTCATGTAGAAATTTTGAACTCTTAATTTCTGAATTAGTAGTAAACAGTGCTGTGAGAAACAAATGGGCTGAGCATGTACTGTTACATTCTTTGAACCTAGAGTGAAGTAGCTACAACAAGAGGATGGGAGCTTCTTGCTTGAATAGTCGTTGTTTTGAAATTGTCAGAGTGCAGTTTTCCTGTATGTACTGCAATTCCAAATTCAGAATAAAATTTAAAAATGCTGCTTCTCTTTTTAAAGTGATGTTATTGGTGAGATTTTTTGCATGCTATCTTTCCAAGATACAATCCAATATGAAGAATCACCTTTCTTGCTAATGCTTAAATGAATAGGGTTGTTCATGTGCCATCCTCTTGGAGCTAGAAGTGAAATATAGGTTAAAATTTATATTTTCTTCATAAATGCAAAATTGTTTTGAATGTACAAAGCCTTTGTCAGTTTAAAATGACATTTCTGTTTTCAAGTAAAAGTTTTAGATTTGTTTCAGCAATATAGTGAAATTTTACTTGTACAAGAGAAAAAAACCAAACACTTCCAAGACCATATTTAAACAACAAAAAAATAATTTTCATTGAGTCTTTGATAGAAGACTCTATTTGAAGCAATTCTCCTAACTTGGTGGCAGTGCTGTTGATTTGCAAACCAAAATCAAGCTCTTATTATTTTTATAAATGACTTTACGGTGTTTCATACAAGCGGACACAACATGTAATTGTACCATTGGCATTAGAGAACTTTTTGACACTGGATTTTTCTTAGTGATTTTTCTCTTTTTATGAAGCTATACTAGGAAGTAGGAAATCACATAAACAGGTACAAAGCCTTCTCATTCAGCAATGTAGAACAATGCAATGGGGAAAAGAGGCTTAGTAGTAATACATGAAAACTCCTTTAAATTCCTTTAAAAAGGAGAATAAAGACAAGCATACCTCTTAGACTCTGCTCTAATTCTGCTGTCCACATTATTAAAAAGGAGAAGGAAGGATGAGGGTGATGTTTCCAGGTGCTTCTTCCCAAACCATCAAGCTGAATTATTCAAATGGCTTCCAGACCTTAATTTAGGTACAAATGAAGGGATGGAACTGCACTGTTTTGGATTGTGACACTTTAAAAGCATTTTTAAAGAGCTTTATAGCAGCATTCCTTTGGGAATGGACTGTGTATAAGATGTATGGGTAATTGGCCCTTTCAGCTGATTTGGTTTATCTGTATTGCTGCATTGTGTCACCTGTGAGAATAACTTCTTAGTGCTAGGAGACACATGTTTCTAGGACTTCCCATAACAGGCATTTTTGGCTCATAAAGGCTAGGAAGATTATGGTCATTTGATCGGAAGTACAGAGGGGTTTTTTTACTGTTTCCCTTTACCACTTTCCATTGGAAAGATGGATTGTGCAGACAAAAATAGCTGCCTGTCACAGCCAACTGTTTTTTGTTCAAATAAATCACATTTGTCATTCTTTCCATGTTTTCATGAAGGATTTATTTTGCATCCAAGAGAAGAATATTCATATGATAGCAGTCATATTTTCATAGGTAGTTTCTGGGTTTTATGTTGTTATCCAGGAAGAGAGAATATGGCCTGTGCTCGAAATCTTCTCATTCAGTTTTTAGTAGTAAGTTTGAATATACAAGCACATCCATTTTGTAGGCACTAACACCTTGTCTGAGTGTTTCAGCAAAAATACTTTTCACACATAAGTTAAAATAGAAATTTGACAATAAAAAATCAAGTTTTCTTGCTCTGATTAACAGATCTTTTCCCATGTGCTTCATAGTCTTGGCAATATGTGTTTAATGGAGGGCTCCCTCCCCCCCCGAGTTTTGTACCAAAGAATGCTTCAGCTTCAGAGGCAGGGCATGAATTGAGCTTAAATAAATAAAACATGTTTTAGCTAGTTTTTCTTCACCATCCCGAAAAGGAGCGAGTGCACAAAAAAATTTTATAAAAATGCTGCTTAAAAGAAGTTGCACTAAATTTGTGTCTTCATATTCATTAGTCAGATCTGTCTGCACTGTGACTACAGACAAACTAGTACATAAATTAAGAAGGTAATATCTGATTGCAGATTGCAGTGTGGCCTAGATGATGGAGTAAATAGGAGGATTTATCTGATTATGAATCTGAGAAGGAGGAGTATCTCTCAGTATTGTAGTAGAATATATATTTAAAGACACTAAGGAATTAGAATGGATGAATCTCTTATGGAAGACTGGATTTTTAAATTATTACTTAGAGTGGGGTTATTAGCAGGTGGTGGAATAGTGACAGTGTGTGAGTAGATTCTAACACCTGTTGTGAATACAGGAAAACAAGAGTCTGATCTAGTGTGGTGAAATTGGCTAGAGTAGAAAAATAAAGACATCTTCTGTCTAGCTTGGGTAAACTGACAAAGGTGTGTGTGTGCTGAATTTATAAACAAACACAGCTTGCTCACATGGTGTATGTATATGTTCTACAATAATTAAGCTGTGTTTATACAAAGTTTGTTCATATACCTGGTTGTCTAGACTGCTGTCAGTGTCTAGTTCTTTGAGATTATGAAATCAAAGCATTTGCTATTCCTAGTATAATAGCTAAGAATAGGAAAAGAATATTTATAGAATCATAGAATCATACAGGTTTGAAAAGACCTTTAAGATCATCAAGTCCAACTGTTAACCTAACACGGCCGAGTCTACCACTAAACCATGTCCCTAAGTGCGATGTCTACGTGTCTCTTAAGTACCTCCAGGTATGGTGATTCAACCACTTCCCCGGGCAGCCTGTTCCAATGCTTGGAAACCCTTTCAGTGAAGAAATTTTTCCTAATACCCAATCTAAACCTCCTTGCACAAGGTGCAACTTGAAGCCATTTCCTTTTGTCTTGTTACTTGGTTAAAGAGGCTCATCCCCAGCTCTCTGCAACCTCCTTTCAGGGAGCTGTAGAGGGCGATGAGGTCTCCCCTCAGCCTCCTCTTCTCCAGACTAAACACCCCCAGTTCCCTCAGCCACTCCTCATATGACATATGCTCCAGACCCTGCACCAGCTTCGTTTCCCTTCTCTAGACACGCTCGAGTCATTCCATGTCCTTTTTGTAGTGAGGGGCCCAAAACTGAACACAGGAATCGAGGTGCAGCCTCACTAGTGCCGAGTCCAGGGCTCAGATCCCTTCCCTGTCCTTGCTGGCCACGCTATTGCTGACACAAGCCAGGATGCCATTGGCCTTCTTGGCCACCTGGGCACACTGCTGGCTCCTGTTCAGCCAGCTGTCAGTCAACATCCCCAGGTTCCTCTCTGACTGGCAGCTCTTCAGCCACTCCTCCCCAAGCCTGTAGCGCTGCTGGGGGTTGTTGTGGCCCAAGAGCAGCCCCCGGCATTTGGCCTTATGGAAACTCCTGCAGTTGGGCTCAGCCCATGGCTCCAGCCTGTCCAGGTCTCTCTGCAGAGCCTCCCTACCCTTGAGCAGATCAACACTCCCACCCAACCTGGTGTCATCTGCAAACTGACTGAGGGTGCACTCGATCTCCTTGTCTAGATCATCAGTAAATATGTTAAACAGGAGTGTCCCCAAAACTGAGCCCTGGGGGACACCACTTGTGACCGGCCGCCAACTGGATTTAACTTGGTTCACTACCACCCTTTGGGCCTGGCCATCCAGCCAGTTTTTTACCCAGCAAAGCATGTGCCCATCCAAGCCACAAGCAGTCAGTTTTGCCAGGAGACTGGTGTGAGAAATGGGGTGTCAAAGGCCTTGCTAAAGTCAAGGTAAACAACATCCACAGCCTTTCCCTCATCCAATAAGCAGTTCGCCCTGTCATAGAAGGAGATCAGGTTTGTCAAGCAAGACCTGACTTTCATAAACCCGTGCTGACTGGGACTGAGCATCTGGTTGTCCTGCATGTGCTGTGTGATGGCACTCAAGGTGATCTGTTCCATAATCTTCCTTGGCACCATGGTTAGACTGACAGGCCTATAGTTCCTCGGATCCTCCTGGCCTTTCTTGTAGATGGGTGTCACATTTGCTAACCTCCAGTTAACTGGGACCTCCCTTATTAGCTAGGACTGTTGATAAATGATGGAAATGATGGAAACTGGTCTTACTATTAAAGACTGAGGCAAAGAAAGCATTAAGTTTCTCAGCCTTTTCCTCCTTCTTTATTGCTATGTTTCCCCTGTGCCCAATAAAGGATGGAGATTTTCCTTAGCCCTCGTTTTGTTACTAATGTATTTATAGAAACTTTTAAAAATTGTTTTTTATGGCATTAGCAAGGTTTAAATTCTAGTTGGGCTTTGGCCCTTCTAATTTTCTCCCTGAATAACCTCACAACATCCTTGTAGATCTCATGAGTTGCCTACCCCTTCTTCCAAACGTCATAAACTCTCCGTTTTTTCCTGAGTTCCAACCAAAGTTCTCTGTTTGGCTAGACTGGTGGTCTTCCCCACGGGCTTGTCTTTCAGCACCTGGGGATGGCCTGCTCCTGCACTTCTAAGATTTCCTTCCTGAAGAATGTCCAGCCTTCCTGGACTCCTTTGCCCTTCAAGACTGCCTTCCAAGGGACTCTGTTAACCAGTCTCTTAAACAGGCCAGTCTGCCCTCCAGAAGTCCAAGGTAACTGTTCTGCTGCCCTTCCTCCTTCTCCAGGAATTGAAAACTATCATTTTGTGATTGCTATGCCCAAGATGGCCTCCAACCATCACATCACCCACAAGTCCTTCTCTGTTTGCAAACACAGGTCTGGTAGGGCACCTTCCCTAGTTTGGCTCCCTTGCCGGCTGTGTCAGGAAGTTATATTTTACACACTCCTGAAACCACCTACACTCTGCTGGAAACTGGAGCAGAAAAAGAATTAACACTCTCTTCCAAAGCCCTTTAAAAATATGAGGGGCATGAGAAACTTCACTGGGCATCACTGTATATCTGACTTCTTTTTCTGAGCAGTTTCTTATTCTCACACTAGCTGTAGTCTTCAGGAGTGCCGTTTTTTGTTCTTTACATATGCAGTTTGATGTTATTCAGTCTTTGAGAATTTAGATTTTCTTTTTTTGTGTGTGCTTAAGTAACATATGAAGCTTTTTTAATTGAGACTTCTAAAATACAATAAATGCCCAGAGATGGTGATTTATGTAGCTACTGTGAAGTTCAACTAAATTATTTTTTCATTTGACCTGTGTGTTATGTAAATTTTACAGGTGTACATGTAAATGAAGAGGACTTCTTATTGTTGGAGCTCTTGGACTGGTTTAAGAATGACTTTTTTCATTGGGTAAATAATCTTCCTTGCAGCAGGTGTGGTGGGCAAACAGAGCCTAAAAGTGACTATCTGTTGCCTACTGATGATGATCTAAGGTGGAGTGTCCATCGAGTGGAAAATCATTACTGCAACCGGTGTCAATTCTGTAATAGATTCCCAAGGTGAGCATATAAAGATTTACTTTGTCTTTTTTTTTCTTCTTCAAGAAACAGCTCTGCATTTGTGTGTTTTGCAAACAAGTGATAAGTTGGTTGAAAGATTGGAGAAGCTGTTTTAAGTAACATTATGGAGTGTTTGATGAACCAGCAATTGCTCTATAAGATTAGAGATTTTTAAAAACAGTATACTGCTTTTTTATGTTACCTTGTTCTGAATACTTGTCTGATTTTCTTCTTGCTATTTATCTTACTGTTAATTTGATAAAGTACAACTTCTAAATAAAATGTTAATATTGGCATAGTATGTAGGTAGGTTTTTGTTATTTCAGGGAAAACTTTAATTTCTGTGGGAAATTAAAGAGGGTATTGCACAAGTCTGTAGCAAAAAAGCAAATACCTAATTTTAAATTTTTTATGCTAACTATTAAAAGGACCAGCATACAAAAAAAATCACATTTTAAGATGGATTCTAAGTCCATTTTGAAGACTGAAAAAAACCAGATTCATTTCGGTGCTGCATGTGATGGGGTTATGTGAGTCAAAGTGAAAACAGCATTCTGCTTGCACTTGTTTTGTACAGCACAGCAATCATTTCCATTATCTTCTGTGGACTGAATGGCTCCGAAATATGTTCAAATCCTCACAAAGACAGTCATGATGTAAAGATTTTGAAAGGTGAAATGTATTTTCAATTATTTTTTGTTTTGTTTTGTTTTTCTCCTGTAGGTATAACAACCCTGAAAAACTACTGGAAACCAGATGTGGACGCTGTGGCGAGTGGGCTAACTGTTTTACACTGTGTTGTAGAGCTGTAGGGTTTGAAGCTAGATATGTCTGGGACTGTACAGGTACCAGTATTCTAGAATATTATAATGTTAATACCAACCTGTGCAAAATGAGGCTAAATATTTTATGGTTCTCAGAGTATGTTAGCCATCAGGCAGCATATAGAGTTATGCAGTTCAGCTAACACAAACAATATAAATTCAATTTACTGTGTTGTCTGATGAGACGAAATATAGTTCTGCAAGTAAGGTTAGATGATTCATTTCAGAATGATACCAACTTTAGTGGAATCTAAGGGACTGTGATCCTAAGATAGAAAGAGAAATCTCTGGAAATTTTTCTGAATGTAGATAAACAGAAAATATGTTTTTACCTGTTCCTTCATTTTATACATCAGGAAAAGTTATAATATTGAAGAGAGGATCTATCTATATAATTCTTTGTTTATTCTTGGCCTTTGTTATATAGATCATGTGTGGACTGAAGTATATTCTTCATCTCAGAAAAGATGGCTTCACTGTGATCCCTGTGAAAATGTCTGTGATAAACCTCTTCTCTATGAAACTGGGTGGGGAAAGAAGCTCTCCTACATAATTGCATTCTCCAAAGATGAGGTAGGAATAATGATGTTAATAACTAACAAACTTGCCCTGAGGCAGGTGTGTGATGTATTTTACCTTAATGTAATTTCCAGAGTTATTATAGAAAAACATACTTTGATTAGCTAGCCTCTTTAAGTGAAGCAAGGAGATACATGGAAATTCTCGGTTGCTTTATTTTTTCTTCAACTTGTGCTTGAGGTGGTTGATGTGACCTGGAGATACAGCTGTAAACATGAAGAAGTACTCTCTAGAAGGACAGCAGTCAGTGAAGCTACACTACGTGAAACAATTAACGCACTAAATAGAACGGTATGTAACATTGCTTAAGTTAATTTCTTTAAGTGAAACATAAGCGTCTTTCCAGAACACAAAGTCCATGACCAAAGGAATATATTCAGAAACCTGATTAGAATGTCCATGCACTATGGAATATAAAATGCTGCTAACTGTACAGAGCTCATTTTACATGGAATACATAAGAATCAGTCACAGTGCCGCACTTATGTGAAATAAGATAAAGAATGGTGTGTAAGAGGGTTATTATATTATCTCTTACATAGTCAAATGTGTGTGTGTAAAATATATACCATGTGTATATATTTTTTTCTTGATGGCTTTGGAGTAGATTTGTACATCAACAGATGTTGGGGGTGAGCTACAGCTGCTTTGTAACTGTGGATTTCTTGAGGCATCTGAGTGTTTTCCACATCGATAATGCTGTAACTTGGAAGTAGTAATATTTATAGTTATGAGAAATGTAGGCCTAGGTTGTCTTGCATGACTTTTTACAAGCTCTTGGAAGCAGGAGGGATGATTCACAGGCTGTTTCCAAGACTTCGAAGAAGTGTTGGTACCACCAGCAGAGCTTTGGCTCAGAGCCACATGCACTGTTTATGCCTAACATCCTCAAAACATGTAGAGCCTGCATGTCATAGCCACAGAACCCAAGTGCACTCTGCACCTCTCTGTTGAGCTTTTTCCACTCCCTACTTGGGACAGGATGAGCTTTTCTTGGTTTAGTATACTAGAATACCACAAAATTATGAACCACATGTGAGGTTCCATTTTGCTGTGCATAGAAGCTTTAGTTCCAGTGTTAGTATACAGCTGATTAATTAATAAACAGATTATGCCTTTTTAGAGGCCTACTGGCTTGAGAGTTATAGCCACATGTTAAGAGAGAAGAATTGAGCTGGACTGCATTTGAGGCCAGGGCTTGAAATTGTTTTATCAGTAATAAAAATTTAGAGTCTCATAGCGGAGTGAAGCACTGAGAAGGCTGGCCAGAGTAGCAAAATAAAAGGAGGTAAAGGATCAGAAATACAAGTTGAGGAATGCATGCAATTTATGCAGAGTTGCACAAATTTAATGGCATCTTCTCTGAGCATTGAACCTTTGCTGCCTACAAAACTGATCTGAGGGGCCTTTCTTCTGATCTACTGTCAATAGAAATGAGTAACCAGACTCTTCTCCACTGGTTGTCTGTAGAGAAAGAACATTGGAAATGAGGCACCAGTAAGTTGAAAAATTACTCTGGCAATATTGATGGAACCAGAAAGTACATGCAACTGACTCGTGGGCTGGCTTGGCTGACCTCCTCCTCACCTCGATGATGTCACTGTAGGATCATTCTGTTTCACTTACTGAAGTTTGGAGAACTCCAGTAAAGTGCATTGCCATCTCCAACAGATGGTGCTGCATGTTGGTGTAATGGCCTGTTTTGTACTCATTTCCACCTACCTTATAGGACAGCAGCTCATGGGCTGACATGAGCACTTTTCAAACAGAAAGAACAGGCATTCTGGTCATGTTTTAAATTAAAATATCATTCAGAATTGAGTACAGGGAAGAAGGCTATACATGTGCTTCCAAGACTTATATCTCCTGTTTTCCTCTCTCTACATTTGAAAATTCCCAGCTCTTTCTTCTCTGTGCTGCACACTTTCCATACTGTTTTCCAGTATTATTAAAGCTGACTTCTGATTTTATTAGAACACATTTGTCAATCTTTTTACTGGTATCTTACTCTGAAGAACAACTTACTCTCCCTTTCTACAAGCTGAATGATACTCACGCTCCCCTCCTCCCACGCACACTTCCTTTTGCCAAATAGCTGTTCAAAATGCTTGATTAATTTATTACATTAATAATAAATTTAATCCCTGTAAGTACCTGCTCTTACTCCTTCTTTTCTTTTGTCTGCTATAGTTGGAATTGGATTTCAGAGGCTTAGAGGCAGTTTGCCGTCAGATTGCCAAAAGAACAGGATTTTTTTTTCCTACATTCATCCTAGGCAAAGGATCTTCCCTAAAGTTCATACTGTGACAACACAGTGAGAATCAAGGGGCCATTAAAAAGTTGCTCTCTGAGAATCTCTGTCATATTCAGCAGCTTCTGCAGTCAGTAGAGGGGTAAGGCAGCTCACTCTTGGAGTAACCAAGACATCTTATACCAGGTTTTCATTACTCTGCTCAGTTGCAAGTCTTCTTTCAGCTAGCATGCTGTTTCCTTCACTGCAGCCTATTCAGCAGGTAACTGACATAGGCAGTGGCCTCCACTAACTTTCCCTTTTCCCATCATCTCCTAGAGACTGGCTCCACACTAGGAGGGATGATAGTCTTGGTATCTTTTGATGCAGAGCTCCTATACTGTGTCTTTGAAGCTCAGTCCTTCTAAGTTACAACTAAAGACAAGCACAGTATGCAGTATACATTATCACCTATACTGTTTGTGAAAATGAAATCTGAGAGATCATTCTTGCTCTTTCCTGCCTAAAGAGCAACATCTGTGGCTATTACTTCTCTGCATGTTTGTCTGTTTAGTGGCCAAGCAAGACCACACAACAGTTCAAAGTATGTTGAGTGACTCACAGTTAAATGGAAAAGAGATAAGGATAATTTATTCTATTCAGTACACTATTTTACTTTTCAGAAACACTGTCTGTGTTTTATTTGGGTCAGACATTCTTAAATGGGCGTGTAGCCTCTGGATTACCAACCATCTGATGTTATTCTATAGTGCATATCACACCCTGTCTACAGTTTTTTCTTTTTCTTTATTGTTAACTTAGGGTAAGCCATGTCAAACTTCCTGTGAGCTGGAGTGAGATCTGTAGTACTGCATATGGGTATTCAAAGTGCCAGGGCAGGTGTTAGATTCAGGAAGGCCTGCTGTTTCACAAGGAACTGCTGGAGTCAACTGCTGGATTGTCAGCCATCAACACAAGCAAAGGTGTATTGCCCCCTTGCTGTGTTAGAACTGGTATTTGGCAGCTGAAATTTGTTCAGATGGAGATGTTTCTCGTCATTTCTCTGTATCTACTTTCCTTTATCCAGTTCCACACTGTTGTCTGGAATAAAACCACTTCAGATGCTTCTTTTCTGATCTCTAATAGCAGAACTTCCTGGGGTCAGGACTGCTTTAGAGATAACTGGAATACTTGCTGATCTGAAGTTTCAGGTCCTAGTTTGCATGCCTTCGGCAATCACCAAAGTAGGAAAAAAAGATGACGTGTAATCATTTGCATTCTAAGTGTTGAACTTTTCCAGCCATGTGTGGATGTATCCACAGTTAAGGAAAAAGGCTTCATGTATCTGTATATTTGATGTGAAAATTATGTAGACAAAACCCCAGCCTCTCAATGAATTTTTAAGTTATGTACTAAAAAAATGCCCATAGTTTCATTTATGTGGGCAAAGAAAGCGTGTTATATAATTCTTTATCTTTTCCACTAATTTACGTGGAAGTTTAGGGGATATATTTTTCTCAGTTTTCTGATATCTGCAAAAATACGAATGTCATTGTTTATGACAGAATCAGTCACTGTGGAAAAGCTCTTTCAGAGACCAACTTATCTTTTGATTTGGCTTGTTGTGGTTTAACGCCAGCCAGCAACTAAGCACCACAGTGCTGCTTGCTCACTCCCCCTCTGTGGGGTGGGGGAGAGAATCATAAGGGTAGAAGTGAGAAAACTTATGGGTTGAGATGAAGACAGTTTAATAGGTAAAGCAGAAACCACGCACACAAGCAAAGTGAAACAGGGAATTCATTCACCACTTCCCACCAGCAGGCAGGTGTTCAGCCATCTCCAGGAAAGCGGGGCTCCATCACACATAACAGTTACTAGGGAAGTCAAAATGCTGTAACTCCAAATGTCCCCGCCTTTCTTCTTCCCTCAGCTTTTTATTGCTGATCATGGCCATCACATGGTATGAGATGTCCTGGCTGAGTCCTCTCCCAACTTCTTGCGCACCCCAAGTCTACTCACTGTTGGGGTGAAAGGCAGAAAAGGCCATGACTCTGTGTAAGCACTGCTCAGCAGTAATGACAATATCCTTGCACTGTTTTCAGCACAAATCCAGAACACAACCCCATACTAGCTACTGTGAAGAAAACTAACTCTGTCTCAGCCAAAACCAGCACATGGCTTAGTCACAGAACCAAGACTGTTGCCAGCCAAGTCACTCTACCTTAGAGAAGAAAAGTTTGACCCCAAAACTGTGCTTGCTTTTTCTTTCCCAAGATAATATCAAGAACAGCTATGGTACAGAATACATATAAATAGCTATAAAATACGCTTTATTATCCAAGCAAATGTATTATAAACATAGCACAAACCATATTTAAAAAAAAATCTACATAGTTAATGTGTGCAAGTTCACAGAAAAAGCACTGCTGTTGAATAACCATGCAGTTATACCACATGTGCAAATATAAATCAGTCATATGATTAACGTTTATAATAGTCAGTCTAGACTTTAAATATTATTCTGTTTTTTCAATTCTTTTTCTCCTCATTCTAGGGTAGAATTACAAATACCATTTTTCTGAATTTTTGACTTTGTTTCTTAAATGCATTTTCAGAGACAACAGTCTTTCTCAGAAAATAGAAGAAGAGAACTCTTGGAAAGAACAATTGTGGAGCTTGTTGAATTTATTTCTCCTAAAACACCTAAACCTGGAGAATACAGTGGAAGGACATCAGGTTCAGTGGCTTGGCGAGTAGCCAGAGGTGAAATTGGTCCAGAGGTATTTAAATTTTGCATTGGTGACCATCTTAGAGGTAGCTAACTAGAGCTTCTGTGATTATTGTCTGCAGAGGAATTGCACAGCACTTCATGGTAGGTAGCCTACAGATCTAGTGAAACTTGCAAAAACATTAGGTGCAAGTTTGATGTTCAGTAGAGGTCCACAAGTAATTTTTGAGGATTGCTGGTGGTCCATTGTTTCTAAAATTGTTTGGGAATCCTTGATATAAAGTGTGTTTTGCTCTTACAAGTTAATAAGAAATACTTTTTTTCTTTTTAATTAGTTGCAGTGTGACAGAACTAGAAAGTTTAAGGCAGTTGAAAGCAGGTAGGAAAACTGTAAAAAATGTTTATTTATATTATTATTTACTATTGGTTAAAGACTGGAAGTGGGTTTTGACCAACTGTTTTTGTTAATAAACCAATTTGGGAGCAATTAGCATTGTGTAAATGGAACAGTCTTTTAAATAATAAGTTAGATTTTTTTGAATCAGTGTTTTTGACTATTTTCAAAAGTGAGATTTTATTTTTACTTACTTTATGCTGAGATACAGTTTATCAGAACTATAGCCATATTTAGCTTGAGTCAGCATGCAAAGGTGTGACTTAGCCCATCACTCATTACATTAGTTTTGTAGTGATTCTGTCATGTGGAATGACTGACAATCCTAAATAGAACCATTTAGGTGAAATTAATGAGTTTCATAGGATCGTTTGAGAAACTAAGAGCTCATTTCAGTTCTCCATAGTTTAGAAGATTTAATTTCTGCTTTGCTGAAACTCATAAGAACAATGACAAATCTTTAAAAAAAAAAAGTAATACTGTGAAGTTATACTGTATAACTATGGAGTAATGCTGTACCTTAAGTTTTTTGATTTGTAAACTGTCATATACAAGCACCTCTATATGATAGTTATTGAATTACATTTGCTATTCAAAGTAACCATTTGCTTACCTATTGTACAAGAAATATACTCAAAATACAAATTTTCTATTCCTAACATTTTCATCTCTAACCTAAATTTGCTAATTTTATGTTATTTTGTTAATAATTTACTTCTAAAAGTAAATATATGAAAAATTTTAAAATAAAATTGCTGCTGCCTCTGGAAAATGTGCAGTTCCATTGTATAGGAAACATTTAAAACTTGTTTTATCAGAAATACTTTTGGCCATGACCTCTCTTAAAAATGACATTTTTTTCAGTTGGCAGCAAATTGAATTGGGAAACCACGGCATGCTGTTTAACAGTAACATAGTCTTACTGATATACATTGAGGAATGAAGATGCTTCTATTTTTTTACTTTTTCAGAAAAGAAAAGAAGTACTTTTTATCCCCTCTGAAAAAGAGAAGACTTCTAAACTCTTCCACCTCATCTACAATGTAGTAGAAGATAGTTATACACGAATTTCCAATAATAATGAAAAAATAAGTGGTTGGGAAACAGGTGTTTGGAAGGCAGAGTCTATTTGGAGAAAGGTTGAAACAGATTGGAAAATGGTAAGGATAACAGTTATTAAAAGCGTAAAATCTACTGTGAAAGTGTAAGTCCAATGAAATAGAAACCCTTTGCCAATGTTTGGCATCAAAACCTCTCTTGGTGCCCATTGAATTTAGCTGATGTTAGTAAATGTTGATGTTAGACTTTAGGTAAGATTGCCAGACTAAGAAATTGGAAATAAATTTAGCTTGTTTTTCAGAAAGGATGAATGAATTCTCTGCAGGTAGGTAAAATCCTTGCTAAAGCACCAAATTTTTAAAAAATGGCTTCCTCCTTACACTTTTGGGCAAATGCACAAATACCGTTTTATTGAAAAGCAGTACTTCAATAAACTTTTTTTGTTGTTGTTGTTTTGGAGAATAGCTTTAAAGTGTATCATACCTCTTTGATAGACAGCCAAAGGAAGAAATTGTCACCCTAATTATTACAGTTCCATCTGCGAGAAGGCATAAACCAGTTACACAGATTATTGTATACCCTGCCCAGAATCCGTTCCATCTGTCAGGACAGTGAGCAGCAGAAGAGTCATATGCTCTAAGTCTAAGAGGAGGAAAACTGGTGCCTGTAAGATAGAAAGGGATCCTTTACTGGCCAGCAGCACTTCCTGCAACAGTTACCAACTGTGGAACTGAGCATTCATTCCTGTTGGGGACTACAGCATGTTATTGCTTTGTTCCCCTGTCATTTTATTAGTCTAAAAGGTCTCTGGCCAAAAACTCTTCTAGCTTAGGCAATGGTGTGCATCCCATTGATGAAAAATTGAGCTGTCTATATGCCTGTCTTCTGGGGTTTCCTGTGCTGGGTCTATACATAACTGACTTGCAGAATGCAATGGGGCAATAGCTTGGAGAGGTTGTTCTACATAAAAGAGAAGGAATAAGGGAAGAAACTGGAGAATAGTATAAAGGATGTTACAACAGGTAGGCTGATAGGAAAAGAGTTGTCCCTCATTCAGAGTTCTTTTACTTCTGTTCTCTGCTTCTCTAGGATCTGCTAAAAATCTGATAGTACATTCTATCATCAAGTCTCCAGTGATCAGTTATCCTCACTTTTGCAAGAAATATACTGTCTTTGCACTGAAACCAATTACAAGTCTGCTGTTCTGCTCATTTCTACTAATCAACTAAAACAGGGGTGGACTGATCTATAAGACCAGACAAAACGACTTTACCCTCATATTTAACAGCACATCAGTTTTTCTAGATAAAGAATAAGATGATGGCCTTGAGAAATTCAGAGCTACAGATGCAGGTATATCTCAGGCTTGTGGGTGAGGCATGTTAGTTCTACAGGAATAGCATCCTGCAGAAAATCTGTGTATGAATCTAAAATTACTTTTAGTTGGTGATTGTATTATGGGAGACAGCAGAGGGAAAGGTTGTTTGGGGTTTGCCTGTTCTTTTTGTAAAGCCTCTAGTAGACCTGCAAGGTACGGATTTGGAGTTGGTTTCTTGGAGAGTTGTTGAATCAAAGAAACCTACCAGCTAAAGGAGCCTTCACAGAAATATTTTGTTTATCATTTAGTTATGTGGTGAATGGAAATTAATTTAAATATAAAAGCCACAGTAAAGGTAACTATAGGTATTAGCCCAGGAGGAACAGAAAAGAGGCATCAGTTATGTATTCTTTGAAACTTTGTTATCAAAATGATTCACATAGATGATCATCTTGGCCAATCTGATAGTAGCCATCTCCATTGTATTTGTGTATTTTCTTGCTGTTCAATGTTGCTTGACTTTATAATACATGACTCAGGTACAAAACACCAAGCAGATGTAAAACCAGAGATAACTTGGTATCTAGAGCTCAAACAAGCAGACAACAGTAGGTGATAATAAGAATGTAAGAACTTGTACATCTGAAATCCGTTTCTAAAAACTTGTTTTCCAGAAGACTTGCACCAGTGGAAGAGAATTTGACTGAGTCTATCTTTTTTTTTTTCTTCTTCCCCTTGAATTCAAGCTTTTTTCAAATAATACTGGAAAAAGAGTAGCCAGATGTGAAGGTTAGAGGACAGTCAAAAAGACACAAAAGAAAGCTTTAACTTCTGTTTTTCTGATTTAAATGCTTGGATATTATAATGGAAGATGAGACAGGCTAATGTTTTATTTTTTTATCCCTAAAAGCCTATATTTAATGCACCTCAACCAAGTAGTAATTAATGGAGTGTTTTGGCTTCCTTACTCAAATATGGCAACTCAGTAGGATCTGATCAAGGGAAATCTCTTGCTAGAACCAGCTGAGATACTTCTAAAAAATTGCATGGAGCACTTTCATGAACATGAAGATTATATTCACACGAAAGCAGATTAAACTGTTACATTTTCACAGGTGATCTTCAGTGTGACACCTCACACCTTCGGTTTTTTTCAGCTTTCTTAAACATGGTCATTAACATTTCTATGCCTGGTTCATAGTAACACTAAAATTCTGTTTTATAGACTGTCAACGACATTTTTATATTAGGGTGGGATCTTTAGTAAAACATACTGTTGTGGTTTATTACCATTTTATTCAGGTTTGTTCTTTCCAGTTTAAAAGCTAAAGAGCTAAGTCCATTCAGTATGACATTAATCAGACCTGGACATGACAGAATTTTGATACATTTTCTTAACTAAGGATTCTGAAAGGATCATGGCAGTTTTGCCTCTCTAATGTGTAATGTCCATTATCTTGGTTTTCTGATAATAGATGCTAGACTTGAAAGGACCATCAGACAGTTGTTACAAAATTCTTGTGAGGGTTCATAGTAACTTTAATAAATGTTAACATATGAGCTTGACTGTTCAGCCAGGTGAAGTTTAGAACAGCATTGGGACTACATTAAATTATGCAAATCTAACAGTTCAAATAGTGTTAATCCAGGACTTATATAAAGCTAACATGTATGATTTGTTTTAACAAAGACACGTCAAGTCCTAGGAGAAGTGGTGTTTAGCCAGCAGCCACATCTGAAGAATCTAAAATGCTGGTTACACAGTTTTCTTCATCAGCAATACTGAACAACGAAAACAAACAATCAAAGTTTGTGGGCCTGTGCATTTATATTAAATACAGAAGTCTGCTTTTTAAACAAATAATAAATTTAGGTAGTTTTGTGGCTTAAACTTTACCAAGCTTGTTGAAGTAGATTAGTGTTCCCTGGTGAAGTACTATGAACTTGTACAATTACTTAACTGCGGAATACACTTAAGGATTCAGAATGAGATTTTATACAGAATTGTACTATGTACAGTTTTAAAGATTCAGAGGCTTGATAGTGAATGAAAGTGTATTGTCTTAAGATTTTATGTCCTCATTACAACAATTAATTAGATGTGTGTTGGTCATCTCATTTTTTTGACATGCTGACTATGTCTTCTTTCTGTTTAGGTTTATTTAGCCCGAAAAGAGGGGTCATCCTCTGCTTCCATCAGCTGGAAGTTTGAGTGCAAGTCAGTTGGTCTAAAAATAGATAACGTTTCAGTTAGAACGAGCAGTCAGACATTTCAGAGTGGAAGAATTAAGTGGAGACTTTGCTCTCCAACAGCAGAAATTGCTCTGATAGGAGGTAAGTGTGAAATTTAAATAATGAATTATACCATGCAGCAAAGATGTAACTGGAAATAAATAGTTTATATGGAGAAAGCACTGTGCAAATACTAAAAATGAAATACAAATGCATTTTGACTTTCCAACTCAGTCTTTCTTAGCAAGGTCAAGAAAATACTGTGCATTTAATCAAAACTGGTACAAAATCTAGTTTTATTAATATACACAGCCCTACCTGCACCAGAGCTGGCTTAGCAAGAACACAGTGGATACAAGATACTTGCGTGTTTTACTGGGAAGGATAGATGCTTCCATGTGCAGTAGCTGCAATCTTGACTAGGTCCTCTGAGCATGAGTGCTAAAGAAATAATAACTAAAAATTGGCAGCTGTTTTTTTTTCTGCCACTGGTTGACAGATGAACTTGAGTAGTTGCAGTTGAGATCCTTAAACGTTCATTACAACTTACCCTTTTTAACATGCATTCTAGCATTATATGCCATCTGGAGCAGTGGCTCACTGAATTATTTATCTTTTCCTTCAATAGATAAAAACCTTTGCTCCTATTCAGATTTTTCGGGTGCAACAGAAGTTATGTTGGAAGCAAGTCTAAATGGAGGAGATGGTGAAGCTGCATGGCAACACACACAGCTGTTTAGAGAGAGCTTAACAGGATGTGGAGGAAATGGCTTGGAGATAATTATAAAACTCAGTGACTTCTGAGAACCTGAACTGTTGTCCTTTGGATTCCTTGAAGATGTTTTACCATGGATACAACATGAAGATTTGGTTGGCAGTTCCTGTTCATCCTGCTGGCAGCTTATTTCCTGTTTCGCTGCTTCCATTTAACCAACCTGAAACTGCACATGTATTGAATAGGTAAACATCACAATGAAAACCTCTTCTCTTTAAAAGCAAACACCAAAATTAAGGGACTGAACCATTAAATACCCTTTTCTTAAACTTTATAATGAAAAGGAAACAGTTTTTAGGAAGCAAAACATGATCATAAGAGCACAGAGCAACTGTACTTGATATTAATTTGGAGTTTTGGTGTTGATTTGGTGGGTTTTTTTTATAATTGCTTGGAAAACCAGTTTGAATTCCATTTTCCAATTACAACAGATGCTTGTGATGATCTTAAAATATTTTAAAGAATAACAGAAGACTTAGACGTTTTAAAAGAAAAATATGATTTTGTGTAATAATCAGACAAACTGAAATTAAGATAAACTTTGAAGCAATCTTGAAATGATCTTGTACATCTGAGTATTAAACTTGTGTTTAATACATAGAAACGTTTGGAAATATGATTCTGTACTAGGAAAATAAATTAATTTTGAAGGAAGTATTCATTATGTACCTAAGATTGTCATGACTGATATGAAATTGAGACTTAAAACATCAGAATTTTTTTCTATGAAAAAATAGATTATTCACTATAAATACTTTTTAATGATATGAATTCAGATTTGCCCACTTTTTAAGAGTTAAGTGTGTAGGTTGAAGTAACTTTAAGCTATTGTCTTGAGTTGCTTTGAATACAATTCCCAAATTTGATGTAAAAATATATACGATTTTTCTGGTCATTAATGCAGTGTTTAAAATTATTTTCAATGAATATAATAAAAACTGCCACCCAGGAGATGCGAGGTGTAGCGGTGTTGTGAATAAAGTATGGAATGAATATTCAGATTAGGTGGGCTTTATCAGAGACTTTGATGAAGGCTATAGCTTGACTGTACAAGAAATTTTCTATTATAGGTTATAATGCAAAATTCAAACTATAGTTTTATTTTAAAATAAGTGAAAATTAGGGACAGTGTTCTCAAGGTCAGTGTTTTTAAAGCTTTTGTTCCTTTTTCTGACGCTTCCAACTGCTGTATTGATACAAAAATATTGTCAAAATAATTTACATTGAAATAAATGTTTGCTGACCTTTCAACAAATCTAAGCAAATATAAGACTATTCAGATTTTTGTTAGGAAACTGCATATGTGTGGTGAGCGTAGCCATCAAAATTATGCCACAGACATCTTAAAGTAGTAGATTATGGTGTCTCGGGAGTGACAGAATGATGTATGATGGATTATATACTTTGCTTCACAATGCAAATTGACCGTTTATGAGGGGGATTAGAAAGATTCTCACTCCCTTAATACAGATCAACACAGTGTCGGAGAACTGTATGGAAGGGTGTTCATCAACTCTTGACTAATGCAAAGTGAATTTGCCAGTCTCCATTCAAAACTCCTCCTGTATTTAGTTTCAGCTAAATGCTAGTTCTGAGATTTTTGAATGGGAACCCAACAGAAAAATAATTTAGAATAATCTTTATACTATGGTAGAAGAAAAAAAAGCCAAAAAAACCCCTTAGTGATACCAACAACAAAAATTTTTCCATTTCATAATTTTGATAACTTCTATCTTAAAGCAGTACCTTTTAAAGCTATTTCTTACATTGTATTACTTAAAATAGAGGACTTTGAGGAATTGCAGAACAGATTAACTGTATTTCATAACTTGAAAGCAGAAGGCAGAATAAATTTGAAAGCAGATAAAAGTAATTTTCTCATGATTTTGGTCAGAATCTCTGGGGGAAGAGTAATAGCTGGAGATAACTTATAAAATCATCCACTCAAACAGAGTAGTTGAAGTCCATTATTAAAATGTTTGAATTAATTAAAAATGCCTCACCAATCAAATTAATCAAGAAGTACTTCTGTATTTGTAGGATGACATGCAGTGCATAAAAGCGATTATTTTAGGAAAGAATCAATGAGTAAAAACCTCAGACTGAATATAACTAATCCAAAAAAGTTAAATGGAACTCCATCACGTGTCTTTTGGAGTACCCTACAAACAGTGAACATTTTGCATTTCTTCATGCATAAGCTCTTTTAAAGCCACTCATTTTCTCTGTGGATCTCTATTTTAGTGCCGCTCTTAATAAATTTTTAATTACTTTTTTGAAACTAGAGGTAATTCCTCATCAATAGTTGATTAATAATAACTTCCAATATCCTGAATTTGCAATATTATATGGTGGAAAGATGTGTGCTGCCATGTGCTCTAAAAGTATGGATATTAAGTTATGCTGGCAATGATATGATACTGGTTGAGTTGTAGGAGATATTGATTGGGGCATATGTAGCTAAAAATCAGTGCTTACTCAGCTTCTTAGAAGTCTGAGGAGTGGGAGGTTAAATGGGGGAAGAAAATATACTGTTGCCTAGAAATGTATGACTTAATGTCAGTATAAGTAAAACCAGCAATGTGTTCTAGAATTTGGTTTAGCCTGGTGTGTTTTAAAGAATTACGAGCTGTCCAGTATGCCATGTGTTCCTTCCAAAGTTGCACTGAGATGTAACAGTGAAATCTTTTCAATCAAATTTTACATAAATACTATACTATCCAAATAACTGTTACAAACTCATTTTGGAGTGCATGGTTTCCAACAGAACTGTGTGGGACCCTGTGCACAGAATTCTTCCTTTCACACAAATATTTGTTGTCCTGCACTGTTGTCTCTCTACAGTTGATCACACAGCTGTTCATTTCTTCATATCCTGTTTACTCTGAATGCTGCATGCAGGATATCAACCACTAGTGGCAACCCATGAAATTGTAGTAGTAATTTCTTACAGCCCAGGAAGTTGCTGGGAAAATATGTCTTTAAAACATATGAAGGAAGCCCCTTGTAGGCACTGCAGAGAGAAAACAGGTATAAAGGAACCAAGAAAACTTCAGTTTAAACTCTATACGTGCTTGCATATATATATATATATATATATATGCTTGCACTGAGAAGTAGGTAATGAAATTTCTCATCTGATCCTGTGTGATAATCTGTTGCCTTTACTCATCAGTTATACATGGAAGATTTTTCACATATCGTCTTAGATGTGAGATATAATCCCCATTATGTGCAACATCAGGAAATGTAGAACACTAAAAATAAAGTATGTTTGTCTCCATAGCACAGTGGAATGAAAACAGATGGTAGGCAGCACATATGGCTGCCAGAAGCTGGGAACACCCATTTGCAGAGTTCTTGCAGCTCAAAACAAAACAAGCCAAAACAAAAGAACTCCAAGGGGGGTAGAGATTGTTCCAGGCAGATATCAGGATTTCTGTCCTCTTCTCCATGCCTACGCTCTCCATCTCTTTACCTTTGGTTGCTTAAGCTAGAAATGGAAGTATACTACAAGTTAATAATTTTATGTACTTTCTTAGTATTTGTCAAAACTTAGCTTTTATTAAGTACAGACACTATTTAAAAGAAATTTTAAATTTCCACCGTAGTTCAAACCTGTGGTTTTGGACAAAATTTAAGATTTTTGCCACTGTTCTGTAAGCAATTCAACAACTTAAAAAATGTGTCAATATTGAAAGTGCTTCAGGATTGTTGCTTCATATCATATGGAGGGTCCAGAAGCAAATTACAGACAGGTGCCTTTCTTAAACACAGTTGATGGAATAGACCTAGGTTCTATTCTATACTTTGAATATTTTTTTTAAAGTTATTCAATGTTATTGGCTTACTTTACATTTAGCTCACTTTGTGCTAGCTCTTAAGGTTCTTTTATGGGGGACTGTCATTGCCAGCAATGTTTTATGCCTTGCAGCTTATGGCCTCTCTAAACAACAATCAGTGATACTATGTTTGCTGTTTGTTGGTCATATAGTGTTGTCAATGTGGGTAGAATGAAAGAGTAATAGCACTAGTATCTGGGATAAGATTATGTGCTTTATGCTAATCTTGAATATTTAACTCAAGCAGAAGGTTTTATAGGTTTTATAGGAACCTTTAATAGGTTAATACAGTTTCTTCTTCCCTGAAGTTATTAATTTCAGGAGCAGAATTTTGAGATCTTGCATCCTAAAATATGTAACTTGGGAATGGCCAAGTAACAAGGCATGATCAAACAGCCTCAACTACCTGTATTTTAGGTGTACAGATATTGTGAAATATGCAAGAGTCTAAATGTGACTGCCTGCCTGTTTGAATAACAGAACAGGTTTTTTCCTTTATTTAGATTTTTATGTTTAGTCTTGGGCTTTGTTTTTTTTTGTGGTAAGCTTTGTAATTAGGCTATTAGCTTCGTTTATGATTAGGTTCCTTTAGTTGCTGCAGCTTTATCTTTTTCTACACATTTCCATCTAATTTAACATACATTTTAATTTGCATTTAATTTATATAGAGGATTGCAACTGTATGGTAAATATACTATAACAAAAATTAAGTTATTTTCTTTTATTTGGTAAGAGGAAACAAAAGGAATAGATTAAAAATACTCAAACTCAGGAAAAAAAAAAAAGCACTAGTAATTAAAACTGATGAACTGATGATACCCAGAACCAACAAAAATACCAGGACTTAATAAAATTTAATGGGGAAAGAAAATGTAATGGGACTACATAAGCTAGTGCTGACAAAAGTAACTTCCATGACTGACCCTATTTTTGAGATGTTTTTCTATGTGCTCATTTATATTTAGGTCACTGAAAATTTTCAGTAGAAGATAAATGCTCAGAATAGTGAATAGTTTTCTTGAAAAGCAGTCTAAGATTTAAGGAATATCCATTTTTAGACATCTTTTATTTTTACTAGTCTAAGCTATGGAAATAATGTTAAAATTAAGAACAGGCTCCTACCATTTGATATAGGTTCATTTCTTTGTTCCAGTGAATAGTCTGGGTCTTTGATTTTGAAAAAAGTGTGTTTAGTGACATATAACCAAGAGTTTTAAGAGCATGCTATCTGTAAAGATTAGAAGATTTCAGTGTGGTACTGAATGCCTACAGAGTCTTGGAGGACTGAGTCTTAAGTACTGGCTAGCTGTGACCTTCTCTTAGAGATTCTATAAATGGGGGGGAAAGATGATTTCACTATGCATTTTGATTGTAATGTTTTGGTGTATCTTCTGCTAATTTGATCCTTTTATTACATAATGTGATGTGTTATTTCATATCTTTGGAACTTCAGTAATATAGTGTATGTCTCCCATGTCCTTGAAGTCCCAGGGGAACATATTTTCCCCGCAGAAATTCTCCAGCTAGCAGCTTATCTCTATCACAATCATGGGGAAATACTGGACTTATTTTAGAAAAACACTTCAGATAACAATATACAGACTCCCTTGTGAAAGAATTATAAGGAAGACAGCTGACTTAAGAAAATGAAGACATCTAAGAGCAATGTTTAAGCAAACTCTTAGTAAAAGAGGTGGAAGAGTTGAATGCAGATGGAAAGAGCAGCAACATACAGAGTGGAATGAGAGACTCGCTTCTTCCCTCTGCATTACCATTGTTATGAGAAGGATGGAAGGTAACCTAACATGTGCCCATGCTTGCATTTTATCAAAAGTCAAAATAATGCGGTTAAACTGCAGCAGTTTTTGCTTTTAGCCAAAGCATCAGGGAAATATATGGTATATTAAAAACAAAGTTTACCACTGGCAAAAAGATGTAAAACTTTATTGGCCAAAAGGGAAGTGCCTGTGGACTGCATTAAGAACTCTGAAGCTGTTCTGGTTTGGTTTATTAAGCAGCATGCCCCAAACTGGTTTTGATTTGGGTGGTTTTCTTTT